GAGAAGGAGGAGAAGGAGGAGGAGGAGGAGGAGGGTTTGAAGGAGGACGAAGGAAGGGACGAAGACACGGGTGCGAAGATTTTGAGGGAGATTGGCAAGAGTGATAATAAGACGGATAAAGTAGAAGAAAGTGGGGAAGATCGTCGATCGAAATCGGTCCTGGTCGCCGGACACATTCTCGTGACGATGCTTCTCATTTCAGCAATAGCTGCTCTCGTTGAAGTGTTGAGAATACGTTTCGCTAGAGACAAGGTATTACAGCGGAAACCGCACTAGTTTATCTTGTAAATTTGATATAATCTGAGGCTAACGATGTATATATATATATATATATATATGCTATTGATCTTTACATATTTAACGATTTTTAACGATTATATAATTATGTCTATATTATTATTTTCGTGGTTGCAAATCCAATCAGTGTAGATACGTTACAGGTACATTTAAGAGGCAGAGATAGAGATGATCGTTTAACCAAACATTCGAAATGAATGTTCGTTGAAAATATATGTATATCTAGTAGAATATTGATTTAAAGAAAAATAAATAAATAAATAAAAGACATCGATAAAATAGTAATGTGGGAAGTAGAATTTCTTGGTTACAACTGCAATATCTGTGTATCTAGATTCGATAATATATACAGAGAATCTTAATTGACTAATAAGGTATTTAAAAAAAAAAAAAGAAAGAAAAGAAATATTATAGAATAGAGAATTTCTAGACGTAGAAGTGCAATTAATTATAAATTCTTAGTTTCGCAAATTAGACGCTACTCCAATGCAAATACTAGTATAGTCACATGTATATGGACATGTAATGTCGTATTTAATGTTAATAAGTAGAACCAATATTTTTGTAAAAAAAAAAAAAAAAAGAATAAGTGGAATGCAATGAAACGTTACACTGATTGATTTCACGCGCACTAAAATGTATTTTTCCCATTTCATGTTGCCAAAATATAAAAAAAAAAAAAATAAAAAAAAATAAAAAATAAAAAAGAAAAATACGACACGAGTATACGAACATGTATATATATGTTTAAAAAACGCATAAGGACTCGTCTAAGGCAGGTAGTATCAGCTCAAGAAAAACGTCCACGATCGAGCTTCCCATTCAGAGGCGATTCCTACCGAGGTATCCAATGAAGAGTACGAAGTCTTTCGAAATGCATCGATCCGCTTTTCGCCTATTAGGTATACGATACAATCAATCTTTGTTAATGAACCGTTTAACGATAATCGTTTAATCTAAATCGAATCGTAGGTGCAAGACCACCGCCTCTTATTCGTCGTTCTTCGTTCCCAATCCAGCAATCTAAGCAAAGCTCTGGTTCCGTCAGTGGTACACCGAATAATCGAATATCGAGACGCCAATCGGCTGAATCTGACGAAGAAATCGGAGTCCTCATTAACGCTCTTCACCATCGCACACGCCTCATTCGACGGCATTAAAGGTAATTGTATTAACAACGCGTTAGAAATATAAAAAAAATAATGGAGAGTAAATATTTGTATTGGATTTAAATTCTTTAATCTCTTAACGCTTAAAAAAAATTTTTTTTTGGTAAATTTAAAAAAAAATTGAAAAATTAAAATATTTTTATCGTAATAAATGATATGTAACGAATATAAAATTAAATATATTATTCATATATATATTTATATATATATATCATAAATATATATTTATGCATTGTGGTGTAGGATATTGTAATTTTTGTGCCATGAAGATTAATGATAGAAGTAAAATATAAATGGAATAATAAAAAGAATAATAAAATAAAAATTGAATTATGAACGTTAAGAGGTTAAACTAAAATTGGTATTGATTTCTTCTGATCGATATAAAGAGATTTTTAAATATAAAGATTAACAATTTACGTTAATCTTAGGATAATTTGATTTTAAGTAAAATTTGAATTACTGGGAAAAATTTAATAATTTGACGTCTAAAAATCTAAAAATCTAAAATTTAAAATACAATGATATTCTAATTTTACTTCTTACTTTCCTTTCAGTAAAATCAAGTAATTGAATTCTTTGAAAATTCATTCGCATTAACAATAACAGGGTACACATCTTGACTGAATGGTAGGTTTTCAAATATGTTTTTTTATAAAAAGAGTTTTGTAAAATAACTTGAAATTGTTTTGTTAGGTCTTACATATCGCACAACGACTCTCGTTCACGAATTCTTAAAAAAATTCTTATTGCTTCGTGAATCCATTACCCAACAGGACTTCCAATAAAATCGTTGTATCTTCCTATATTTTACAATTTTGACATTTAATATAAATTTCGCATTTGCAAAGAACCTAAAACTTTCCCTTTGCTGCTAGGACAGGCAACAAATCTGCTTACTACTGTTTTGCATCATTTCTTTATATTTTTGTTCCTTATAAGGTAATTTTTATATATTGTTTTTACTTTGATATTGTTAACATTTTATGTTTAAAAATAAACATTTGAAATTTTTTTCTTTTAATTAAAAATAAAACAGTAAAATTAATATAAAATAATAAACAGTAAAATTAAATAATACAGTAAATGCAATAATTTACAAAATAATAAATTTTACATATTCCTATGTATCTGATATTATATTATTTAATGATATTTTTCATCATTTTTTTTTAATAATCTTAAAGCAATAATAATTATTGCAATTATCTGATTAATTTTATATATATTGTATTATATATTTCTTTGAAAAATTTTTTTGATATGATATTATAATTATAATGATATTATTTCTTTTTTTTTAGGTAATATATCTATATAGGAAGTGTAAATAAGTAATTGCAAAAATTATTTGAAATGGAAAACGAAAGAATACTAAGTATTCGTACTTTATCGTATATGATATTGTAATACAATGTAAAGATCGTGTGAAAGTAATCAAAAGATGAATGTATTTTGACAAAAGTTAAAAATCTTCGATATGTATTTTCATATTAATACCTATACCTCTATAAAGTAAATACTTTGGATACTTCTGTGATTTTCATCGTTTATCATGATATATATATGAAGCGTTAATCAAAAATTATAAAATATATATATGTACATATATCGATGTCTGATAAATAAATTCTTCGATTCTCTATATGAATTATTTTATTTATTAAACATATTAAACGAATAATTAAAAAAAAAAATAAAATAAAATAAAATAAATGCACGTCATTTAATCATTGTTTGAAATTAACCTATATAGATGCCATATAATACAAAAGAGACACGAATAAATTTAAGACGATAATTAAAAAAATATATTTCATAAATAAAATATAATAATCGATTTCAATAATTTAGTATTTTGAATTTATAATGAACTTTAAATATTTTTATAATAAAATATAATATGAACATCTTTTTACTTTACTTACTTTTTCCAGTAGCACGATGTACGTTAGCAGAATCAAACGCTTTTCAAACGTTGACACTGTCTGACTGGAAAATTCAAAAATTATCGTATTAATCGTATTAAATAATTTCTTATAGATATAAATTAATATAAAACAATAACAATATTTAAATTATATACTTTTTTCCATAGGTTTGTTGATTTTTGTCTTCTTTAAATTCATTTTTTCTCGAAATGTGATCCCAGCTTCGCGCCAGTTTACACGTCTTCGTCCCAGTTTATATGACAACTAAACGAACAATGAAATCTAGTGATTTTCGCGTCCTTGCCATTGGCGTTACTGTTTGACGCGCGAAACAGCAGGTGTCGCCACCTTCAAGGCCGTCATATTGTTTTACACGGGTGAAACGCGCAGAAAAGTGGAATCATGAATTAAAGGTACCTCGATAAACGATTTGGTCCATGTTTCGCGGTAAAGAAGTGTAAAAAGTGTTATGCTAACCATAATTTCCATCGTTCGAATTATATAGTAGTAGGGAAAGAACGAATATTTGTGACGAAGTGTTTCGCTTGTTGCACAGTTGCCAAGGCGACTACGGTGCGTGCGTGTGCGTGTTAAGAAGTGTGCTATGAAAAGAGAACGATCATTGGGACAACGATTCTACGACTATCTTCGTACTGACGGCAATTCCATGCTTGAAAAACGAACAGGTTGAAGACGGGAATATTATGGACTACCCGGTTTTGGGCCACTACGACCCGTCCGTAGAGGCCACGGCCGATAGTGGCGGTGATGAACAAGAATTACTTTGTAAGTTATTTTCATATATCATTCTAACGTTCCTTCCTTTCTTCTAAAGGCGCCAAAATGCACTTTGTTGTATCGAAATGCGATTTCTTCGACCCAAGATTCGAAGATTTGGAAAGGCGCGAAACCTCTTCATTCTGTAGCACTCGCTCGAATCATGGTGCGCGATCTGGTGTCCTGTTCGCTGTTAGTATTATATGATATCTTTTGTCTCATTAATTCTTACTCACCAATTCAATGATCCGTTATTGGCTATTCCCTCTCCTTCCTCTGTTTTCGAAACGTGATGCTTAGTTTCGATCAGCTGTTCCACTCCGAACGATCTTGCAAAATTCACGGGTTAGGCATGCGATCCAAATCAGCTGTGACGTTGCTGTTTTGAATTAGTTGAAATTTAGTCTCGTTTGTTCGAATATAAATATTAGAGATCTCGTAAACAATGATCACAAAGATTATTGACATTAATAATTATTAACCTATATTGTGAATGTTGAAATGTCATCACAAGTTATGTTTAATGATTTGACTGATTTTGGAATAATATGAATTTTCATTATCAACTTTTTTGTCATCTTTCATTACAGGGGAAGAAACAAATTATATTTTACCTGGTGATGAATATGTACCTGCAACAGAACAATTTGGAGAAGATTTTTCAGGGGCTGAATTTCATGAAACTCGTACTTTACTTGCAGATGGGGGGGATAGATTTGGAGTTTCTACTGCCACTTTCGATAATGTTGAAGAACTTATGTGGATGGGAAATCAAGGGGTATTATAAGATTTATTGATAAAAATATAGCTAAGAAATTACATATATCATTACTTTTATCATTTACTTTATGTAATGTATGAAATGTTTGAAATAATACTAAAATCATATTACTTTAATAATATTTATTTAATGATATATAATATTTTTATAAAATATTTTTTAAAAATTATTAAATATGAAGAATAATAAAAATAGGTTTTTTTAACAATTAATGAAATTGTTTATGTATTGTGATCAAGAAAAATGTTTTATAGGGTCACGTGACATCTTATTATGGGTCTGGTTTACAAAAATATACTTCATTCCAAGTTCATGCCACGCAAGAGGTTCGGCATATTCATCCATTAGATGAAGGAATTTTAGTTCTGACACAAAGTTTATTAAGATGTCAATTAAGACGTGGCATACCAATATTTTCACATACGTATGTTAATTTTATATATATATATATAAATAATATAAAAATAATTTATATAAAAAATTTATGAATATTTTCTACATAAATAAGTAACATTATAGATCATCAAATATGATTGATATGCAATGTATGCTACAAATCTCACCAACAAGATTACTTATGGGGGGACATCAAGAAAAAATAATCGATTTTAATTTGACTAGAGGAAAAGAGACTGGATTAGTGAGTTTATATATATTATATATTAATGAAAAAATAAATAAAAATAAATAACGTGCACATGGATTAGTATTATCTTATATTTATAGGTACATGTAGGGGAAAATGGTTGTGCAATTTTAAGGCAGCATAGCAGACTTATTTGTTGTGGTAATCCTGTGGGAAGAATTGATCTCAGGGATCCAAATACATTATCAATAGAACATACTTTTGATACCCATAGTGCATCTCTCAGTGATTTTGATGTTCAAGGAAATTATCTTGTTACTTGTGGCTTTAGTAATAGGTAAGACTTGGAACAATTTAATTTTCTATTAAATATTATTATATTATTATAATTATATATATAATTATTTTAAATTAAAATTTTCAATTAATTTTATTTTTAAATTTAGCCGTCAGGGTCTATCAGTAGATAGATTTTTAATGGCATATGATTTGAGACAAATGAGAGCATTAAGTCCTGTTACAACTTTAGTATATCCCCTTCTATTAAAGTTCCTACCCAGCTATTCCAGCCGTTTAGCTGTTGTATCACCATTGGGACAAATGCAACTTCTTGATACTATCTATGCTAATGTACAGCCAGCCATGACATGTTTATATCAGGTATATGTAGCATGCAATATGTGCAAAGAAAAAACAATTTCAATTACATAGTGTGTACAAGTTTTCTTGTATTGATAGGTAGCAACTGGTTGTGCAATGATATTATCATTTGATGTATCTTCTACATCTCAATGTCTATGCTTTGGAGATTCAGCAGGTTCTATACATCTTATGTCTACAAATACACCTGAACCCCAATTTAATACATTTTCTCGGTTAGTAAATGTATTAAATTTTAAAAATGAAAAAATAAAATAAAAAAATGTAAAAAATATTTCAATTTTCATCTAGGCCAACTGAATTTGCTGATCCAGTTGAATCAATTCAATCTATATCATTTAATGATGATGTTACACCATTAAGTACAATACCTATTGTATATACCGGGCACCCATTATTAAGTGATTGGCCAGAGGAATATTTAAAAAAAGTTTATAGGTAAGTAATCTCAATTTATAATTAACCTATAAACATAAAGGATTAAAAAAATAAATAATATTGATTGGTAAGAAATTAATATTAAATAACTTAAAATTTTATTTGTATATTTTCACAGGAAAACACCATCAATTGATCCTGAAATATTACGTACGATGAAGATGCAAGGAACTATAGGTTATGCCCCAAATCCTCAGGCATTTCGCAGAAATCAAGTGAGGAAACAATATTCTCCCACTCTTCTACAATATTCTTCTCCAACTCTCCTAAAGCTCTCCTAAAATCCGAACTTCCTGTCCTCCATTCACCGAGTGTCTCCCCGTGATTCCTGTTTAAAATTGTATAACAATTATGTTAGTCTTGATGTTTGACTTTTTTATTGTTAGTTACATCAATGAAGTGATAAAACGCAACGAATTATCGCTATTGAACGTTGTGAAAAATCTCCATCTTTAATTTTAAATTGTTTCTAAGAAATTTTAATTTGTTAGTCTTGTATGA